TGTATTCTATGGAAAGCACTTAATTAATAAAATTTTTATTTTTTTATGTCTCCTGTCATAGCGCTACTTAAAAAAATCTATCTCTCATCTTAGATATGCAAGAAGAATGCCTTACAGTTATGAATATTGGTTTGAGTGTATAAGTCATGTAACAAATGCAGATTTCATCGCAAATTTTCTTTGCGAATGAGAGTGAGAGTAATCGCCAAAAGGCTAAAAAAACGTCTAGTCAAGAAAAACCATTTACTAAGATCCATTTAATGATACTTTGTAATTAAAAGAAATAAGATGAAAGGGAATAGCTGCTTAAGGAAGGACAGGGAGTTTGATAGCTCTTCCGAATTCCTGATACTTCTTTTTATTCGGCTCTCAAATATGGTATTTAGGCTACTGAGGAAGTAAGGTATCAAAAAATAAAATAAACAACAAACAATTTTCTTAGTTATGTCTTCTTTCAAGAAAGCTCGATCACTTTCGCTAGATCAGGTTATTACAAGGTTTATAACTCGTGTGGTAGCTTCCATATGAATGAGATATACACAACAATATATAAAGAGCCTGCAAGAGTTTATGGACCCACAAATCAGGATGGCTGAGAATATGCCTAAAAGAGAACGCTAGATAGAGTAGTTTGTTGATAGCAGAAACAAGTATAGAGCATCGAGAAACAATTTTCTCTAGCTGTCGGATAAAAGTAGGAAAATAGTAGGATGAAATACCGAGTCTGGTATGGCTATAACAACGTAATTGATTAATGGGCATTGCATACATTCAACACACGGGCGACCACACACCATAACAAGAGACAGCATTGCAGGATTACGCTACAGGTTAATGAGTTAGATAAACGGTTGTTTGATCATAGCCTAGAGTGTCACAAGCATGTAAGTAGAAGCATGTAGAAGCCAAATAAACCAAGAGGTGCTTCATTCAGATAGCAAAATTACGGCATGGTTAATTTTGTTAGGGAACGACTTCTCTCTATGAAAATTCCTGCAACGATAGGACAAATTGAGGCATAACACTCAAGAATTCGAGATCGCCCAAATTAGCAGTCACAACTTGTTTACAGTTCAAAACCCAACTTTTCAAACGGAAATAAAGATCAAATAAAATGAAATAATTAGAAGATTTTTTGTAACCCATCTTTCCAGAATATATTCCTGAGTATTTTGGTAAGTTCATAATTATTTCTGTTTTAAAGCATGCAAAACATTTGCATTTGTAAAAGACCATTGGAGTGGCTCAGAGTCCAGTTTTTATAAGACTTGGAGGTTTGCTTGCTGCATGCGTTGATATGTTCGTAGGATGTTTATACCATATCTGAAACTAGTGATGTAAAATGTCACCAGCCTGAAAAACTGGTCAGCAAAGGAATCATCATAAATGCTACGTCACCACCAAAGATAAAAAAACACGCACTAGTGATTGGCGGCCTGGTAGCCAATCAAAACACGACAAGTTAGTTAACAACATGGGATATGTCCCATTTGCCGAACAATGGGCCGATCCTTTTGCCCAACAGAAGATAGGATTACTTGCCCTTGCCCACCTATCGGTTAGCCTTGGCCATAGTCGTCACATTCGTGGGCATGTGTGTGTGCATCTATGTCAGTGAGCTCAGTGCATTACCTTCACATGGTGTGGTTGTTACGAGTCATGTGAAACAGTCCTAAAGGAGATAAACTGACGATAAGGCGATTTAGCCTGGTGGAAACTGATGGTATCGAGAGAAATGGTGCCGCTATAGGCGGCAACCATATAACTAGAGGTATGAAGAACACTTCGAGTGGTCCAAGCTTGTTTGAGATTGGATCAGAAGTATACAACCAACTTGTGAAATGGCCTTCACCTGGACTAAGTCTTGTTTACGAGACATGGGCCTTTATCCTAGTGAGCAGTCTTCTCGCCGGCCTCACGATATGGACAATTTTGGGCAATGGACTTGTGTTCGCTGCACTCTACCGGTTCTCCAGACTACGCTCACTCTCCAACTTCTTGATCGGCAGTTTGGCTCTCAGCGACCTCTTGTTGGCACTAACTATCCTACCGTTGTCAGCGGCTAACGACCTAACCGGACATTGGCTGTTTGGCAGGCAGCTGTGCAATCTGTGGTTGAGTTTGGATGTGCTATATTGCACCGCGTCCGTTTGGAATCTTGTGGTGATTGCGTTTGATAGGTTCACCGCCACAGCCTTCCCAGTGTGGTATCGAGGCCGACGGACGCTGAGTCGTGTCTTTGCGTATGCTGCGTTTGCATGGCTCTTTTCTATCCTCATCTGTTTGCCCGGTCTATTCGGTTGGGGCAGCAAGAAGGCAACCGCTACGCTGTCAGAGCCGCCGAACCAAAAGAGGGAAGAAATTGGATCCGCCTACCCTCAGTTAGTTCAGGATTCAGGAGGAAACAACAACTACTCACTTGAAACCGTAGCATTAAAAGCGGCAAATTTGGACAACTCGGCCGTATCAAAGCCACTGCGTCCACCAGACGAGGAGCTGACAGAGACGCACGTTTTTGACCCTGTTACGCGATGCTATACTTGCGTGCTTTACACGGAGCCAGAGTATGTGGTCTATTCGGCAATGGGCTCTTTCATTATCCCCCTTGTCATCATGCTTTGTCTTTACGCTAAAATCTTCGCAGTGCTGCGACAGCGGGGTCGAATTCTAAGACAGAAGAAAAAATCGACAATGAATGCTCTAGTACCCTCAGGGCACGCTTCAGCCAGCGGATCCCGAGAGATGAATGAGCTAACTGGACCAATAGGTGAGTCAAGATTCATAAGAAGAAAAGGAGAAATGGATGTAGGAAAAGTTGAAAATGATGGAATTTCGATGGGAAAACAGGATCATAATAAGGCAAGGATTCATATTTTGGTTGATCTATCTGAAGCCCCCGCTTCACACCAAAAAAATGAGAGATCTGGAGATTCCAAAGAGCATCACATTTCAACACCAGCTTTAAACTTCACTTTAACTGCACCAACCACTCCGGCTGTGAATTGTGGCTCTAATTCGACCTCATCTACTCTGAGTCTGGTAAGTGCTGGCGCCCTGCTACATGGGCGGAGGGCACATGGCAATATACGTTATATCGCAAGTGGATGGGGCTTCATTCAGGACTTAAGAGTAAATGATGAACTAGAAAGAAATGAGATGAATGATTGCCTACGACAGATCGAGAGTCATTGTCCAGGGGAAAATGGGCCAAGCAGCCGACCAGCACAAGACGGCAAATCAGTTATGTTTAATTGTGCTGTTAGCCAGCCCGCGTCTGACCTGTTTTTGAGCATCTCATCATCTGGTTTAGAGCCAAAGATGGAAAATGAGGTATCCAGATCGTCGCCACCCTGTCTCGCAAATCAATTGAGCAGCAGAATGACTCAACGAAGAATCGAGAATCGCTTAGAGCAGTGTGAAAGAAGAAGACGGCGGCGTCGCCGGCTCAAACAACGAAGAAGAGAAGGGGCCTCAGCATGTGCTTTAGGTTTGAATGCATGCTGCGTGGAAAAGGCAGGAAATTCCGGTAAATGTAGAGACAATTCTACCTTATCCATCACAGAGGGCTGTTCATGTGGAGGCATTGAAGCAATGACAAGACAAAGGATGTTAAGTAGGCCTGAAATCGGCCAGTTCTTTATAGACGCGACAGGTGACTTTGAGACAAGTGAAGCGGATAGCACTGCAAGCTATTTTGATCGTTTGTATTTGAAGGAGATAGAGGAAAATAAATGTTCATTTTCCAAGTATGATGATTCATTGTATTCGGATTTCTCAGTTTCACAGACTTGTCTGTCTGCAGAGAAGGAAAAAAACCAGATGGATAAATCTGACAAGTGGAATAAAGGTTCAGAAACGAATGGAAAAGAATATATCAATCAGACTTGCAAAAAGGCCTATAAGACTTGCGGGCTGCAAGAGACAGATAGAGGCAGTGGAAAAGAGGAAGAGGAAGAGCAAGAGGATGATGGCGAGGAAGAGGAGGAGGCGGAGGCGGAGGAAGAGGAAGAGGAAGATGAAGAGGATGTTGGGGAAGCTGAAGGGGACTTCCAAAAAGAGGCCGGGTTGCACTCATGCTACCATGGGCTACCTACCAATCGTGAGCTTACTGAAAAGTCACAAAGCCATAAGAGCAGCTCTGGTATCATGATTACTTTATGCGATCGAAGAACTGATCCTGGTTCAAATATAGCTTCGCAAAACCCTATTCAACCAATGACAGTCCCCAAGTCAGAGGCTCCCAGCACCCTGATTATTCAAGTAAGGATGAATGGATACCTACATGGGCAGCGAGGATTTCGGATTCCAACCAGACATAAAAACAAATCGAAGAGATCCCAAAAGTGGCGCTGGCTAAGTAAAGAAAGTAAGATGAAGCCTCCTGATATCATGATAACAAATAAAATAGCTAAAACCAAAGCTTCCAAAGGCAGAGAAATGAATGATGGTGTGAATTGGAATACGGTTGAAAGACCATTTCTGAAGAATATGCATCGCATAGCAGAAGCAACAAGCCAAAGCAGAGGCAGCCTACAGAGGGATCAAATATTGGGCATGCCAAAAGCAAGAATGAAGGGCTGGCGGAATGGGGAAAATAGAAACGAAGCAACGGAGATAGTGTTAAATGATCAAAATGTTGGGCTTCAAAAAATATCAGATAAAAGCCAACAGCATCCTAAATATGAACAATTTGGGGCACCGATAGGATCTTCTGACGAGCCAGTTTACCTGACGCCAAATAGAGCGGGATTGAATCTTGCGTCTTGTGAATGGGAACGTGAGCATCAGCATTTACAACAGCAGCAGCAGCAAAGATCCACGGACAGCCGCGAAAGTCGCGCCACCAAACACATGGCAATGATCATGCTTATCTTCGCATTCTGTTGGATCCCGTTCACGTTGATGTACCTAGTACGTGCCCTTTGCGGCGAACTGTTCTGTCCAGACAAGCCGCATTTACGCGTCTTCGTCACCTGGTTGGGCTATGCGAACAGTGGCCTCAATCCCATTTTATATGCCATTTTTAACGAGGAGTTCCGCTCTGCATTTGCCTCCCTCCTGGGCTGTAATGGTGCAAAGCGGCTGGGTGCAGGAGTAAGCCGATAAGCAAGAACGGATTAGTGTAATCAAGCAAACGAGGACAAGGTGGGCAGAAATGAAGTTAGAGCCAGTGAAGTAGATGCCCTCGCCAAACATGGTATGAC